GGCTAGACACTTAGTCCGCACGGTGTTTTTTACGTCCAACTTGTAGTCTAGGAGTTGGGAACTCTGTGGAGTTTATAAAACAGTGACTTTTTAGGAGTAGTGTTAAATAGGGACTCGTTCGTTTGCATCTCGGAGAAGCTCTGCTCATCTACGACAGCTCCCCTTGTCTTAATAAATAATTTCCGATAGATGCACTAATCAGGGCGCTGGTTTCTATTCAGTTTTCAAGTGTAGCCCTTGTGAGATTAAGCCAAATTAGGCGCTAAACGTAGTTGCCTTTTTATGACTTGCTCAGGTCATTGTATTTATCTTAAAGATCAACTAAAGCAAACAAGAGGAGGCATATCTCTTAATTATATTTTGGGGGCTAATTTTTGCCCCCTCTTCTTCTCCACCTTATTAACTCCAAAATTTTAACTCAGAATTCCTTCTGAAAATCGACGTGTTTCTTTTCTCCAATATTGATCAATTGCATCCATTGCTTCAGAAACGATTTCAATCTGTGGTTCAAATTCATAAGGATTTCGATTTAGCAAATGTGAATCAAAGGAAACAACTAATTTTCCAGAATCATTTATTTTTATATCAAATGTTCTATACCTGGTAATTATTTTTGTATTTCCCATTATTTTCTTTTGCACTCCAAGCATACTGTTACATGGCCTCTGGTTTCAGTCATCTCATGCTCAGGTTTACCTTTCTGACAATATTGGCAAATGTTGTCATAGGTGGGTAAGTGATGAACTTTCTTGCATTCTTTACAAACTATTGCTGTTTTCATTAACTTCCTCCAATCGAAATTTGTAACTGTAGAAACGGAAAAAAACTCTATTCTAAATTGAGAGAATAGAGTTACATACGTTCGACAAAAACAGCTTTGTCAAAATACATCCCATATCTCCCAGTATGATATTAATGTCACTTCCTTTCAAAAATAACATTAGGATAAAATTAAGTTTTTTATGGCACCGACAGGAATCGAACCTGCAATAGACGACCACTGGGATGTCGTAGTCTATTATTAACCAACATAATCGGCGCTACCTTTAGCAATTGCTAATGTGCTAAGGAAACCTCAGCAAAGCCCAACGAAGGAATCGAACCTACTTTGCAGCTACTCTTATTCAAGTGTAATCACAAACCAGTAAATGTCAGACAAAATAAAAATCAACAAAGCATTTGCTATGTTGATTCTCACAAAAAAATATCTATTGAGTCATCTATTGCACCGATATTAAAAGTGGGAATCAGTTTAGCGTACAACAAAGAAAACTATTGCCAATTCACACCCATAATGTTAAAATAATAATTGTCTAGGTTATTAAATTAACGGTATGGGGTTGCAGCAATCGCTGTACCCTTTTTTAAATAAGTGGCTCTATTTTTGACTTCTAGTCAAATTAACTAGAACCGCTTATTTTTATTTATTAGAAATTTGATTAGTTATCATTTTTCTTTATGTTTATATAATAACTCTTGAAGAGTTATTTGTCAAGAGGAAATATTTTAAGTTAGGATTTTTTATGGAATTTCATGAAATAATAAAAGAATTACGGAAAAATAGTGGGATAACTCAAGTCCAAATGGCACAAAAACTAAATTTAGCTTCTCAAGGTGCATATAGAAAATATGAGACTGGAGAAGGTTTTCCTCAGCTTGAAAGATTATTATTAATTTCAAAGATATTTAATGTTTCTGTGAGTTACTTGCTTGGAGAAACAAATATTAAAAATAATGAAATTAACGAAATCATGGAAAAACTGAACTACCCACGTCAAGAAAAAACAGTGAGATATGCAAAAAAACTCCTTATTGAGCAAAATGAAGAAAATAAAGTTATCCATTTAAACAACTCTTTAATTCCTTATGAGGTTGAAGAGGAACAAGCGTTATCTGCAGGGTATGGTGAAGGATATACACAAGAATATGGTAAGGAAATAGTTTACTGGAATCAACAAATCAAGCATGATCGTGCAATTATTATAAGGGGAAATTCAATGGAGCCTGATTATCACTATGGTCAAATAGCCCTGATTAGGTATCAAAATTATATTGACGTCCCTGGTGGAATATATGCGGTTGATGATATTGAAAGAGGTCTTGCTTATATTAAGTCGGTTTACATGGAAGACGATCATATTAGACTTGTTTCTTTGAATGATGAAGAGGATTTTGAAGGAAATAGATTATTTCCTGACATTCTCTTACCTAGAAATGAAAACACAAGAATTATTGGAAAAGTTGTTGATGCTTTTACTCCCATTGAAAAAGATTTTTTATAAATTAAATATTCTGGAGCTTTAGCTCCTTTTTTATTATTTAGTAAAAAATCTGTAAGTTATATTATTAATAACAATAAGTTAATGGTTATATATAAAAGTTACAGTTACAGTTACAGTTAAGGGGCAATTTTAAGACTCAACCATGCGGTTTACAGCTATTAATAGCGTAAAAATGTTGTACTGAGGAGTAAAAATGTTGTATTGAGGAGTAAAAATGTTGTACTGAGGAGTAAAAAATGTGTATGTATGTCGTAAAATTTGCGTATTGACTCTTAAAAATGTTGTAAGTACGTCGTAAAAATGTTGTTTAACTTCTTAAAAATGTTGTTTACTCCTTAAAAATGTTGTTGGAGTTCTTAAAAATGTTGCATTTATACTGGACATAGTAGTAAAAAAAGTGTATATTAATAAAAATAACGAGTGATTCGTAAAAATGTTGTATTTTAGAACAGAATTTCATAAAAAAAGAGAGAATTATAAAAATAAAGTGATTTTCTACTATAAAAGGCATAAAAAATACACCTTTTTTACGATTGAAACGCATTTTGGCTATATTAGTACGCCTAAAATAACATTATGTACACTTTTAATACCGATAAAGGGGTAATTTATGCAAAGCTTTAACCTTATTGATGAACTTGAAAATGAAGAAAAGTTTAGAAATGACATAAAGTACAGTCGTCAACTCCCAGAAATGTTTTCTACCGAGGATATTAACGCAGCAAGTGAGAATATCACTTTTGCTATTCTTGGAGAATTGAGAGATAGATATAATGGCAAAGAACCTGTGACTTTCTCATACCAAGAACTTGCTGAACTGGGGGGACTTTGGGTTACTAGGAAGAATGGAACAAAAAATCTTTATAATGGCAAAAGACTCCAAAAAATCATGTATGAGCTAAATGATGCGCTCAAAAACTTCTCCTACTACCAAGTAAGAGAGACTAACGAGGATGGGACACCAAAGTCTTGGAAGACAATCAATATTTTTAGTATCATTGACTTTGATGGAACAAAAAAAGAGGTCAAGTTGACCCTTTCTGATGCTGTTATTAATCCTCAACAAGTAGATGCACAAGGGAATATTATTGATAAACCGCTTCACGTCTACGACCTAATTAATTCTAAAGATTGGCGAACTGTGAAACATTTACAGTATAGCAGGGGAATTAACAACAGCTTACCTTCTAAGTACTCAAAGAGAATTTATAGATTCATTAGTGAATTTAGAAGTTTTCCAAAAGGTACTAAGATGCGAATTGATGACTTTGATAAAAAAATACTAAAAATTTTAAAGACTGAAGAGGAAGTTTTTAGTAAAACCGCAGAAGTTTTTGATTTAAGAAAAAATAGAAAAAAATACTTAGAAACAGCCGTTAAAGAAATTTCCAAATTGAAAACGGCAAACGGCGAGCAAATAGTAAAAAACCTAGACTATATTTATCACATGTCTGGTCGAAGAATACAATCAATTGAATTTACATTCACTCCATTTAGTGCTGATCTAACAGGGAATACAAGTATTTCACTAACTAAACGTACTTCTTCTGGTAAAATAAGCCCATTTATAGATGATGCTAGAATTGTATTGGAATACTTTAATTATTTATCAAAAATAAACTTTGAATTGGATAAAAATGGCGTAATTAAACATCAGGAAAATTATTATGAGATTCAATTTGACATAAATGACACGCAGCTACTTCAGCCAATTCATAAATTGCTTGAGAGTGGTATAACGATTGATGAATTACTACAAGTGGCTGAGATGAAAGCAATTGATTGGAAGCTAGACAGCAATCAAATGATTAATAATTTTAGACCGAGTGTTGTTTTTGGAAATAAATTTTCAGAATACAGAGCATTTCTAACAACGTATAAGGCTCAAAATATACATAAATTAGTTTTTGATAGTTCGTCTGATTTCTATGTACCAATGAATGGTCCTTGGGATAGTAAATAAACTAAATATTTACCTTCAAGATTAAGTATGAAACAAAAAAAGGGGGCTAATTTTAGCCCCCTTTTTTGAAACGAGTATATGAATGAACATCTCCTCTAAAAAAACTTTTACTCTCAACCTTTTGGACAGAGAAAGAGTAAGAAAGTTTACCACAAACCAAAAAAGGTTCAGTACAAGTAAGTATATCAAAACTTAAAGACTCTTTCAATAATATAAATAAACTAGAACTTATTTATCAAATATATCATAAATTTTTAAGTAAGGGTTGGGGGCTAAATTTAGCCCCTTTTATATTTAAATAATAAATTTGACGAAACCGTAAAAAACGCTTGACGTAAACATTAATTTACGATACAATGTACATATAGTAAAAAAACAACTTCTTGCTTCAAGCCTTTGGACAGAGAAAGAGCAAGAAGATTACCACAAAACGTGAAAGGGCTGAGAATGAAATAATGAATTATAAAAATATAGTTTTCACAAATATTGTATATTTGTGAAGAAAGGTTGATATGGAAAAAGTAACAGATGAAATTAAAAACGTGGTGCAGAAACTACTCGATGATGACGAAAATTTTTCTGGTTGGTATATTGAGAAAGAACTCGAAAAAATTGGAATTAAAGTTTCTAGGATGACGATTTCAAACCTAAGAAATAAAAAAACGACATTGGGTAACACTAAATTTGAAACGTTAGAGGGGCTGTATCATTTCGCAAAGACTCATGAGAATATAACTAAAGAATAGAGAGAAAATATGAAAACAATAAGTCTATTAAACTTAAAAGGCGGAGTTGCTAAAACAACAACAGGTGGAAATATAGCAAAAGGTTTAGCAAATAGAGGCTTTAAAACGCTTTTAATTGATACTGATATGCAAGCTAATGCAACAAGTATTTTTCTTGAGGATGAACGTTGGAAAGAGGAGTATAAAGATTTTGCAGAGTTATTAGTTGATGAAAAACTTGAAGATGTTGACCAATATATTTATAACGTAAGTGATAATTTAGATATGATTGGTTCAAGTTTAGCAGTTGCTGAAAGTGAATTGAAAGTAAGAAATTCATTCAATCGTAATTCATCAAACATTGTAAAAAAAGTTTTAAAGAAACTAGATTCTAAATATGATTATTGTATTATTGATTGTGCTCCAACAATTAATCTAATTACTCTCAATATTATTATTGCGAGTGATGAAATTATCATCCCAATAAAAATTGATAAATTTGCACTTGAAGGTTATAGAACGACTTTAAAGAACATCAATCAAATTATTGATGATTATGAGTTAGATACAGAGGTGACCGTACTTTATACAATGGTCAACAGAAATAATATTGATAAACAATTTATTCAAGAAATATCTGGGAATAGATTTGAAACCACAATACGACATCAAGCTAAGCCAGTTACAGAAAGTGCTTTAAAGAATGAGGTATTAATTGATAGTTCTAAAAGTTCTAAAGTAAAAGATGATTATTTAAATCTTATTGATGAAATAGTAAAAAGGGGTTAAAAAATGAGTAATAGTTTCGGATTTACAGACCTTATGAACAAGGACGAACACAAGCGAAAAAAAACAAATACAAAAAATATTCCTATTGAGGAGATAAAGGAAAATGAGAATAACAACTATGATTTAGTTGACATTGAAAAGTTAGCTGATAGCATAGACGAGTTAGGCTTATTACAACCCGTTCTAGTTAAACAGCGTGATAAATATAGCTATGAATTGATTGCAGGACATAGACGATTTAATGCGATAAAAAAACTAATTAGTGAAAATAGACTTCCTGAAGATTACGAAGTCCTTGCTAAGAAAGTAGATGAAGATGAGGACGAACTTGTAACAAGACTAAAGTTACATGAAACTAACCTCCAAACTCGCTCACTTTTAAAAATGCCTGAAGAAGAAAAAATAGCCATCATTGATGACTATATGGATATTTTAGATAAAGCCAAAAAACAAGGGGTACAGATCAACGGAAAACTGGTTAAAGGAAAGACTAGGGACTTAATTGCTGAAAGATTTGGTATCAGTCATTATACCGCTCAAAAACTTATTAGAAAAGCTAAAGAACAAGGTGGGGAAGAAGAGGGGGCAAAAATTAGCCCCCAAAAGAAAACCACTAAAAAGCCAATTACACAATTAAAGAAAATTGAGACTCAATTAGAAAAATTAGAGTTTGAAGGGACTGAAGAAGAACAAGAAATCAAAAAAAAATTGATTGAGTTATTAATGAAATGAAAAAAGGGGCAAAAATTAGCCCCTTTTTTTTGCTCTAATTTACAAATAATCTTTAATATATGGTTTGAACAACTTAATAAATTCATCTCTTATAAAGAAAATTTCATTTTTATCACTATTATATCTGTTGATACTATGTTGACAAAGCCCTTTTTTTGAAATCATTTCTTTTAAAATGAAAGCGACTCTACCCTTGTATCCAACATTTGCAATAAATTTTAAGATTGTCCTCTTTGTAATATTATATGATAATTTGTTTTCTTTAAGTGAAGAAATTGTTCCTCCATATTTTTCTGAAAAAAAGGCAATTAAATCATCACTGGATTCATAATTTTCACAGGGAAAAATAGAGATGTCCTTTACTTCTTTTTTTCAAAAGGTTATTTAGATAGCCTAATATATTTTGAGTTGATGAAATTCTAAGAAGACCTTCTTTTTTATATTTTACAATATATAGCATTGAGACAGGTAATTTTCTAGAAATAATGTCTTTTTCACTTGAGATGTTATTTGCCCATTGCATATTGGAGAAGTCAAAATAGTTCTCGAAACTTTCATTGTTATTTCTTTTGTTAAATATATTATCAATCTCTTTTTGGATATCTATTGGAGGAGTAGTTTTATTATTTTCTTGTTTGATTAAAAGTTCGAGTTTATTAAGAGATTGGTTCAAAATTTCGTTGAGGCTGTTATTGAAAGAAAATATAGAGTCAATTTCATAGAATTTAGTTGCCTCATAGATATCTTGTAATTTATTAATAGGGTCTTCTTCTCCAGGCATGTATCTTCTAAATTCAAAATATTGTTCTACCCATTCATTGGAAATAAAAGGCATAATATTATGTGATGATACTTTGGTGGGATTAATAATGTTTCTGTTATATAGGTCCTCATCGCAGAGTGAAAGGTACAGTTCCAAAGTATTAAAGTTACTCCAAAATGAATTTGATGACCATTTTGCATAAACCTCTATAGTATCTTTTAAAGAAAATGTTTTAGTTACTATTTCTTCTACTGATTTAGGGCTAAGCAAATCACTTATTTTTTCCATTTATATATTCTTTCGTTTTCTATATATATCTGAAATGCTTTATCTTCAATTATTTTATTATCCATTTATATATTTGTCAAGTTTCATTACAATATAAAAATAGGGGGCTAAATTTAACCCCTATTTGGTCTAAGAAACATTCATTATGTGTTCAATGGATATGAGATGTATTTTATCTGTTGATTTTATTCTTACTTGGTTATTGATAAACTCTGAGACAAAACCATAGACTCCAGTTAATTTATCTTTAGTTTGATATTTAACTTTGATTTGTACCTGATTTGAAAAAGATTGATTAAGAAGATGAAGCACTAGATGATGTGGTAATGCTTGAATTACCTTATCATTTTTTTCTTTTTCATTGAGCTTGTGATAATCACGTGGTAAGATTTGAGAATTGCTGAAGCTAGAAGATTTAGGGGTATATTTTTCTCTCACGTTGCTTTCGTCAATTCCGTTTGCGTGGAAAAAATGCTGAAGTCCAATTGTTCCTAATTTTTGCTTCAGCAAAAGAGGGTCAGCATTCGCAAGTTCTTTGATAGATGTAATTCCTAGCTTGTTTAAACGTTTCTCAGTTCTTTTTCCGATTCCCCAGAAGTCAGTCATTTTAGTAAGTGTCCATAGTCTATTAGGTACATCTTCATAACGTATTAATGCTCTCATATTGTCGTTGTGTTTGGTATAGTTATCCATTGCCAACTTAGCAAGCAAAGGGTTGTCTCCCATGCCAACTGCCACATAGAGTCCTAACTTATCTAGTATCTCACGTTGCAAATCCAAAGCAATCAGATTCATTTGCTCATAGCGATTTTTAATACCAGGATAAAAAAAGTTAAGTGATTCAGTAATGTCTAAGAAAGATTCATCAATCGAGTAAGCGTGAATCTCATCAATTGACGTATAATTTGTCAGTATATCTGTAACTTCAATTTTATAATCCACATATAATTGCATTTGTGGTGGTACAATCCATGTTCGGTTCGCACAAGACTCAATGAAAGCAACATATTGCAAAGTTGGTTCAGTTCGCTGTCCATGAATATCTGTATGTGTCCGATACCATTGCGGATAGTTGAATCTTCTTGTTTCTATGAGAAATGGTAAGTCGCTTGCTCGGCTTACATTCTTCATTCCAAAAACCTTTTTAAAGGTTGGACTAGAGGCAAGCGTTAACCCCTTAGAATTATCCGCTCTACTCATGACAAAAAGAGAAGTCGTTAAAGGGTTAAGATTACGTTGAACGCACTCAATAGAGGCATAGTTGGATTTGACATCTTCAAAGAGGATGGCTCGACGTGGTTCAAAAGAATAGTCAAAATAGTATTTCTGATTTGATTGATTCATGAGTCCTTCTAATACCGAATATCAATTTTACTGATATTATAATGTAAAAATTAGCTAAAATCAATCAATTATACGCTATAAAAGTGATATTTATGTATTTTTAAGTAGAAAATTATATAAATAAAATATTGTGATATAATTAAATTCAAAATAATATAGATTGAGACACTTTATGAAACGAAGAAATAAAAAAAGAAGTTTAATTGGCTGATTAACACATTGATAGGAATTATTTTTATAATCGGTTTGGTCTTAATTTTTAATAAGCCAATTCGAAATATGTTAATTGCAACGAAATCGAATCACTACCAATTAGAGAATGTTTCAAAAAGGAAAATTGAACAAAATAAAAAAGAAAAATCGAGTTTTGATTTTTCAGCAGTAAAATCTGTAGATTTCCAATCCGTGCTTTCTAGTCAATTTAATTCACAGGATTTGCCAGTTATTGGTGGAATTGCAATTCCTGATTTAAAGATTAACCTTCCAATAGGAGTAGGGAATACCTCATTATTATACGGCGCAGGAACGATGAAAGAAGAAGAGGTTATGGGACAAGCGAATTATTCTCTCGCTGGGCATAACATGACAGGCTTTACTTCAGACCTCTCTATTTTATTTACCCCCTTAGAACAAGCTAAAGCAGGGATGGTTATTTATGTCACAGATAAAGAAAATATTTACCAATATAAGATTGACAACATTAGTACCGTTACCCCAGACCACGTCGAAGTTATCAATGATACTCCAGGTAAAACTGAAATCACTTTAGTGACATGTGCGGATGCGGAAGCAACGCATCGAACAATTGTTAAAGGAACTTATGTAGATAAAACCCATTTAATAAAGCAACCTCAGAAATGAAGAATGCATTTGAGAGAAAATATAATCGGATGAGTAATTTGTAAGAAAAAGGGTTGACAAATAAACGAAGATGTGATAAACTTTAGTTAAAGAGAAAAGTGTATGCACTCAGTGCTACCGAAAAAGACAGCTACTCTAATAGCTGTCTTTTTTTGTACAAAAAAAGACAGATGCTCTAACATCTGACACTCTGCGACTAGTGGCACTTTTTGCGTTTCTTGCTTTGTTTTCGAGTATCTAGCCAATACTTGAAAAGTTCGGTCAGACAGTTAATTGTCAGAGCAGAAACAATTGAGAGAAGTGTATACATTGTGCTACCTCCTTTCCGTTAGGATAGGCGAAAGCGCCAGAATCATTATATCATATTATTACATTATTTTATGAGAGTTCAAAGTAATCTTTTGATAAGAACGGCCAACAGGGTATACTCCAAAACTTCATTTATATGTTTTCTATATATAATGGTAGAGCATGGAATATAGAAACGAAAAAGTGCTGTAGAGAAAATATCTAAAGTATTAATTGACATCATCCAGATTTAATGTTAGTAATTCTCCATAATTGACATTTTAAATTCGTCTTAATAGGTATAAAGTCATTGGGTGAACAGTAACATATGTTAACGACAATAAATTTATAATTGGTATAATTTATTTGAGAATTACCTCTCAAAAAATAGAAGGAGTTTTTTATGAAAAAACTTATTATTGGATTAATGGCACTTGTAGTAGTAGCGTCTTCAGCAAGTCCATTATTGGCAAGTGCTGATTCTATTACGAATCAAGAATCGAATACTACTAATAGCTCTACTGTTCAAACAGGGAATAGTGAAACTATTTATGAAAATCCGCAAACCGGTGAAATATATACTTCAACTGAAGTTATCAAGCCTGCAGATAAAAATAGTGTAGGATTACGTTCTGCTTCAGCAAGCCCTATTTCTGTAGGGATACTTTGGAAGTACAACACGAAAGCAAGTGGTACACTTTTGAGAAATACATTTAGAAAATGTGCTACAGCAGAAGGAGCAGTCGGAGTTGTGGCAGCAGTTGCAGCGGCAGGTTTAGAAACAGGTCCAGTAGATTTAGCTTTAGCTGCTTTAGTCGGAGTTGGTACTGTTGCATTTCATGGCCGATTTACTGAGGGAGCAAATATGATAAATAGTCATCCAAATTCTGGTAGAATCTATATGTACCTTGACCATACAACTTACGGTAAATACTAAAAATTATGACTACATACACGTACGGATTATTATTAATATACTTAATCATAATAGTTTTGAAGAAGAAACAACTCAAGAATACGAGTAAGAAACTTGCATACCCAAAACTCTTCATGTTTTTGCTTATATTACCTATTCTAATAATTTTAGCATTCCTGTTATATTTTCAGATAAAAGCATCCTAAAAATTTAGGATGTTTTTTTATAAGATATAAATAGTATTATTAAGAATGGCCAACAGGGTATACTTAGTTGCCCTTTTTTATTTTTTTGATATAATGGCTTTTGTAAGGTGTCAAATAAGTTGGGCATCTGAAACTTGGGCTTTACGTTTATTCTAAAGGAAGGAAAGGGGGAAAATGTTAAAAAATGAATATTTTGTATTTACCGGAACACTCACAACAATGACTCGGAAGCAGGCACAATTTATTATTGAAGGATTGCAGGGAAATTTTCAAAATAGTGTGACGAGAAAAACAACTCGGATTGTGATGGGGGATTTTCCTATTGACCTCCTTAAGGGCTACTGGCCTTCTCAAAAAATTGTAGATGGAAGAAAGGCGATCGAATCCGGGCAAAAGTTGATTATTATGAATGAGAAAGAATTTTTAGAGTTTCTAACTCAATTTTTTAACCTTCTCTCAAAGGGATTATAAAAATACAAAGAAATAGATAAGGAGCAACTCTTGAAAATTGGTTATGCCAGAGTATCCAGTAAAGAACAAAACCTGAATCGACAATTAGAAGCATTAAATCATGTTTCTAAATTATTTTCAGATAAAATCAGTGGAAAAACTACCGAAAGACCCCAACTAAAAACAATGTTAGAATATATCCGAGAGGGTGATATTGTTGTGGTGGCGGAATTAGACCGTTTAGGAAGAAGCAGTAAAGATCTTACAACGATCATGAACGAGATACAACAAAAAGGAGCCACCTTGGAGGTTCTCAATTTACCCTCTATGAATGGGATTGAGGATGAAAATCTTCGAAGATTGATCAATAACCTAGTCATAGAAATCTATAAGTATCAGGCTGAGTCAGAACGAAAAAGAATACGAGAACGCCAAGCCCAAGGAATTGCCCTTGCTAAACAAAAGGGTCGTTTTAAAGGCGGAAAAAGAAAATATCAAGAAAATGATCCCCGTCTTCAACTTGCATTTAAACTCTTTTTAGAGGGAGCTACAGATAAAGAAGTAGAAGAAAAAACAGGAATCAATCGCAGAACTTTCAAGCGCTATAGGTCACGATATGGTATTTTTGCAAAAGATCGAACCTAATAGGAGTTGTTGAAACAGGTAAGTCATTTTACGTTGATAAGAATTGAATTTTTATATTTATATACTCAAAAAGGGTAACAAACCGTGAACTTTAAAGTAATAAGCCCCCTGCCCAATTAAGCTCCGAAATAATTTTATTAAATTTTTCGGAGCTCTTCAACCACACTTAAGGGCATGAAAATCATTCAAGGTATGCACAAAAAGAGCCAAAGAAAAGGAACGCTCTTCGACTTTTTGGTCTCTACGGAAATTAAATTTATATTATAGTTATTTGTATAGGCAAGAGATAATATTTAAGTTTTATTATTCCTATTTAAATATTGCAACAGAACCGGTGTGAATACTGTGTTTTTAGCTAATCTCTTTAATAGGGTGGCCCTTTTGAAGAATGAGCTTTGCTACGGAGTTTTTTAATTGTTTATCGAAGTTTCTTTTTGTCTTAATAAAATTTTTACGATTTCTCTTAACTTGGTGTCTAGGTTACTATAATGTTTCAAATTCACTTTGGTTCTTGTTCGGATAATTAGAATATAAGCACAAATGGCTAAATTCATCTATGTAAGTAGCTTTGTTTAATGAGGAAGCCTTTTTATAATAGAAATTGTGAGATGTTATTTTAAAAAACATTTACAAAATATGTTTCTGATTTGATTTAATTTAGAAACAATGATATAATATTTCAATATTCGGAGGATTACTCAAGAGGATTAAGAGGCCCGCTTGGAAAGCGTGTAGACGTTTAAAAACGTGCATGGGTTCGAATCCCATATTCTCCTTTGGTTCCGTAGTGTAGGGGTTATCACGTCGCCCTGTCACGGCGAAGATCGCGGGTTCGATTCCCGTCGGAACCGTTAATTTATATTTGGGGAGTTACTCAAGAGGTTTAAGAGGATGGTTTGCTAAATCATTAGATCAAGAAATTGATGCGAGGGTTCGAATCCCTTACTCTCCTTAATTGTAAGTTTTAATTAGTTTTTACTTTTCATTATCACAAGATGGATGATTGATATAATTTCAATTATTTTATGAAATAAGTCGCTCAGATGTGCGGCTTTTTTGTCTTGAATTTATGATTAAGGTATAAAAAAGCCAGCAGTTTAAAATAAATAGTGGATATTGCCGGGATATATATAAAAAAACGCAAATATGAGTTTCGTTACATTAGTATGGGAAATAATAAAAAATTAAAACTATCAGAAAAACAAAAGTTTTCTTGATAGTTATCTATAAAATATTCCCTAAAAGAGAGAATAAAATATTTTAATCTAAGATCGTAAGTAGATTGTTTAATTGTTTCCTAAAACCATCAAAACAATTCCTAAAATAAGCCACAAAACGCCTAAGAATCCCGTTATATACATTAACAGATAACTTAACCCTCTCGGTTTTTGAGTTTCGAAAAGCGTGTTACTTTTATCGGTTGACAGCAGAGAGAGGGCGTCTTGCTGTTTAGAGGGTTGCGATAGAGTGACTAAGATAATAAGCAAGCTAATCACTATCAATAGATAAACTAAAGTGCTGTACATGACTGACTTCTCCTTCAAATTTTTTAATTAGTAAATAAGACTCTTGGTTGTTGAATTGCTTTAAAAATTAGTGTCATCCCCACAATACATGAATAAAACTTTGTTGCAACAGCCAATTAACCCAACTTAAAAAAAGAGCAAAGAAGATTGAAGCTAAAAGGACTGCTGTTGTTTCTTTCGCGATCTGTGTAAAAGAAAGCCATTTGATTCTGTTAGATTCTTTTTTTACTTTTTTTGAATAATTAATTATAAACATTATTTCTCCATTATACCATGATTCAAGGGGGGAATCATATCTAGTTGTCCTGATTGATATTCTAGAAAGTTATAAAATTCAATATTATTTATTACGACTGACTAGTGACCTTTTTGTGAATTTTTTCTAATTGTCCAGTAATAAGGGAGTATTCTATTCATTGTGTGAGAGTGATAATACTTTACAAGCTTAAGAATCGCTCAACATTGCCAATCGTAAGTGCGGTTTCAAACACAAACAAAATCCCTTGTTTCAATTTCTACAGTTGTAGTAGATTTATATATTATACTAATGTTTCAAAAAAATGTCAATAGTTATTTTGAATAATATAATAGGCTATTTAGAAATGAAAATAAAATTTTTATCTAATATAAAACCATTGCTTGAAATATCGTTTTATGTCAATTATTTATTTCCTTATTGATGTCTAACTCTATATCTCCCTAGTATACTATGGTTATTTCTGTCATCACTTGTTTTTCCCAAAATGTATAGGTAAAAGCGTTTTTATATTTCGAGAAAACTTTTGTTTTTCTGACTTAAGTATAGATTACAATTTGTTTACTTGAAATTGGAATTTGATTACTCTTTGGATTGGAAGAAAAATGAGGTGACAAGTGAGAACAATAGGGAGCGGTTTATATTGATGTTCCTTTCCAAATTGACTATGGCTCTAATCTTCATTTTTCAGTCAATTTTTATGCGAATATCAATTATCTCTTCTTGGATTACAGGAGACATCAATTTTGGAAAAAATGTTAAGTTAGCCCCTCGCATCCAAAGTTATAAAGTCAATCATCCGGTTTATCCAACCGAACGTTTTGAAAAAAGGAACGTGCGATTGTATCGCCTGTTACGATAGGGGGTAATGTTTGGGTTGGTGGTAGGAGCACCATTAATCCTGGGGGCGTTATTGGGTGCTAATACGGTGATTGGGTCCAGAAGTTTAGTCCCTTCAATCTTTGCCAGTAAATGTGTTGCCCGCTGGTGTTCCAGCGAAAGTCATTCGAGAAATTTAGAGGAACGAAAGAAAGGTTAAAGAAATTTAATGTCCAGAAAAAATAACATTAAGAAAATGTTAAACTCCGATAAGCATGAGCGCTACCGCTCTTATAAGCGTAAAAAAACGTGGATGTATGCGACAATTACGGGGATTGCGAGTGTTTTAGGAGGTGGCGCGATTGCGGTACCAATGATTAAAGCAGATAGCACAAGCACAGGAGATAGTCAGGCGAAAGAGGTTGACAGTAGTAACCAGTTATTAGTTTCACAAAGCAAGACTGTTATTCCAAATATGATAGGTACATCAAGAGCCTCTGATCGGGAAGTTCATGTTGATGGTGCTGATTTATCAAAATACTTCACAACAAATCGGTCTGCCAGTATTTCTGGAAATGTGGCAACGCTAACGAAGGACTACAGAAGTCAAGTAGGAAATATAGTTTTAAACACAAAAATTGACCTACTTGAAAGTTTTAATATTCAAGGTAAAGTGAATTTAGGTAATAAGAGTCAGAAAGCTGGGGGAGCAGATGGAGTATCGTTTATATTCCAACCTGGAAATACCTCTGTAATAGGGCAACATGGTGGCGCCATGGGGCTTGGGGGTACAAAAGGTGCTTTTGGGTTCAAACTAGATACTTTCTGGAATGCTCCTGGAACTGGCTATGGTGCTGACCCGTTGCAATTTCAAGGATCAAATACTACTGGTAAGGGAGTGGCTTTTGGGGCTTTTGTAAAAACTGATGAATCTGGAACAACTGTAACTGAATCTGAAGGAGCATTACAAATATCAGAGCCATCTAACAATAATTTTATACCAATTAGTATTACCTACGAAACACAAAATAATATACTTACTGTTCAGTATGATGGGAAAACATTTTCGAAAGACCTCACTGCTTGGTTAGGAAATAATAAAAGCATGTCTTTTGCTATAGCAGCCTCTACAGGTGTAGGTCACAATTTACAACAGTTTCAACTGGACAGTTTTGATTATGTTGAAGCTGAAGGAAAAGTTGTACAACACTATGTTGACACAAATGGGGCCACTATTTCTCCTGACGAGGATCTTTTAGGAAAACTAAAAGACCCCTGGACCTCAAGTCCAAAGACGGTTAGCGGATACGTTTTTGAATATTCTAAAGGCAAGACTTCAGGCTTGTTTACTGCAGATGATCAAGAAGTAACACATGTATATAGAATAGAAACAACAAGCGAGAGCGATAGCGCTTCGACTTCTGAATCGGATTCAACAAGTAGCTCTATTTCTATGAGTGACTCAGCTTCCCAAAGTGATAGCGATTCTATAAGTGATTCAGAATCACAGAGTGATAGTATCTTTCCGTCTCAATCAGATAGTGATTCTATGAGTGACTCCGTTTCAGGTAGCATTTCCCTAAGTGATTCAGAATCACAGAGTGATAGTATCTTTCCGTCTCAATCAGATAGTGATTCTATGAGTGACTCCGTTTCAGATAGCATTTCCCTAAGTGATTCAACTTCAATCTCTGATAGTGAGTCAATGAGCGATAGTATGAGTGACTCCGTTTCAGATAGCATTTCCCTAAGTGATTCTGCTTTGATCTCTGATAGTGAGTCAACGAGTGATAGTACGAGTAACTCCGTTTCAGATATTAATTCCCAAAGTGATTCTGCTTCGATCTCTGATAGTGAGTCAATGAGTGATAGTATGAGTGACTCCGTTTCAGATAGTGATTCAACATCCGATTCCGTTTCAGACAGCAATTCCTTAAGTGATTCTGCTTCGATCTCTGATAGTGAGTCAATGAGTGATAGTATGAGTGACTCCGTTTCAGATAGTGATTCAACATCCGATTCCGTTTCAGACAGCAATTCCCAAAGTGATTCTGCTTCGATCTCTGATAGTGAGTCAATGAGTGATAGTATAAGTGACTCAGTTTCAGATAGTAACTCAACATCTGATTCAGTAAGTGATAGTAACTCAACATCTGATTCAGTAAGTGATAGTAATTCAACGTCTGACTCAGTTTCAGATAGTAATTCAACGTCTGATTCAGTAAGTGATAGCAATTCAACATCTGACTCCGTTTCAGACAGTAACTCAACGTCTGACTCCGTTTCAGACAGTAATTCAACATCTGATTCAGTAAGTGATAGTAATTCAACGTCTGACTCAGTTTCAGATAGTAATTCAACGTCTGACTCAGTAAGTGATAGTAACTCAACATCTGACTCCGTTTCAGATAGTAATTCAACGTCTGACTCAGTAAGTGATAGTAACTCAACGTCTGACTCAGTTTCAGATAGTAATTCAACGTCTGACTCAGTAAGTGATAGTAACTCAACATCTGACTCCGTTTCAGATAGTAATTCAACGTCTGACTCAGTAAGTGATAGTAACTCAACGTCTGACTCAGTTTCAGATAGTAATTCAACGTCTGACTCAGTTTCAGATAGTAATTCAACGTCTGATTCAGTAAGTGATAGTAACTCAACATCTGACTCAGTTTCAGATAGTAATTCAACGTCTGATTCAGTAAGTGATAGCAATTCAACGTCTGACTCAACTTCAGACAGTAACTCAACATCTGACTCCGTTTCAGATAGCAATTCAACATCTGACTCCGTTTCAGATAGCAATTCAACATCTGACTCCGTTTCAGACAGTAACTCAACGTCTGATTCAGTAAGTGATAGCAATTCAACATCTGACTCCGTTTCAGACAGTAACTCAACGTCTGATTCAGTAAGTGATAGCAATTCAACGTCTGACTCCGTTTCAGATAGTAATTCAACGTCTGACTCCGTTTCAGACAGTAACTCAACATCTGATTCAGTAAGTGATAGCAATTCAACATCTGACTCAGTTTCAGATAGTAATTCAACGTCTGACTCCGTTTCAGATAGTAATTCAACATCTGACTCAGTTTCAGACAGTAACTCAACATCTGATTCAGTAAGTGATAGCAATTCAACATCTGACTCAGTTTCAGATAGTAATTCAACGTCTGACTCAGTAAGTGATAGTAACTCAACATCTGACTCCGTTTCAGATAGTAATTCAACGTCTGATTCAGTAAGTGATAGTAATTCAACGTCTGACTCCGTTTCAGACAGTAACTCAACATCTGATTCAGTAAGTGATAGCAATTCAACATCTGACTCAGTTTCAGATAGTAATTCAACGTCTGACTCCGTTTCAGATAGTAATTCAACATCTGACTCAGTTTCAGACAGTAACTCAACATCTGATTCCGTAAGTGATAGTAACTCAACATCTGACTCAGTTTCAGACAGTAACTCAACATCTGATTCCGTAAGTGATAGTAACTCAACATCTGACTCAGTTTCAGACAGTAACTCAACGTCTGATTCAGTAAGTGATAGTAACTCAACATCTGATTCAGTAAGTGATAGCAATTCAACATCTGACTCAGTTTCAGACAGTAACTCAACATCTGATTCAGTAAGTGATAGTAACTCAACGTCTGACTCCGTTTCAGATAGCAATTCAACATCTGACTCAGTTTCAGACAGTAACTCAACATCTGATTCCGTAAGTGATAGTAACTCAACGTCTGACTCCGTTTCAGATAGTAATTCAACGTCTGACTCAGTAAGTGATAGTAACTCAACATCTGATTCCGTAAGTGATAGTAACTCAACATCTGACTCAGTTTCAGACAGTAACTCAACATCTGATTCAGTAAGTGATAGTAATTCAACGTCTGACTCAGTTTCAGATAGTAATTCAACGTCTGACTCAGTAAGTGATAGTAATTCAACGTCTGACTCCGTTTCAGATAGTAATTCAACATCTGACTCCGTTTCAGACAGTAACTCAACATCTGATTCAGTAAGTGATAGCAATTCAACGTCTGACTCAGTAAGTGATAGCAATTCAACATCTGACTCCGTTTCAGACAGTAACTCAACATCTGATTCAGTAAGTGATAGTAACTCAACGTCTGACTCCGTTTCAGATAGCAATTCAACATCTGATTCCGTAAGTGATAGCAATTCAACATCTGACTCCGTTTCAGACAGTAACTCAACATCTGATTCAGTAAGTGATAGTAACTCAACATCTGATTCAGTAAGTGATAGTAATTCAACGTCTGACTCAGTTTCAGATAGTAATTCAACGTCTGATTCCGTAAGTGATAGCAATTCAACATCTGACTCCGTTTCAGACAGTAACTCAACGTCTGATTCAGTAAGTGATAGTAACTCAACATCTGACTCAGTTTCAGATAGTAATTCAACGTCTGACTCAGTAAGTGATAGTAACTCAACATCTGACTCCGTTTCAGATAGTAATTCAACGTCTGACTCAGTAAGTGATAGTAACTCAACGTCTGACTCAGTTTCAGATAGTAATTCAACGTCTGATTCAGTAAGTGATAGTAACTCAACATCTGACTCAGTTTCAGATAGTAATTCAACGTCTGACTCCGTTTCAGACAGTAACTCAACATCTGATTCAGTAAGTGATAGCAATTCAACATCTGACTCAGTTTCAGATAGTAATTCAACGTCTGACTCCGTTTCAGATAGTAATTCAACATCTGACTCCGTTTCAGACAGTAACTCAACATCTGATTCAGTAAGTGATAGTAACTCAACGTCTGACTCCGTTTCAGACAGTAACTCAACATCTGATTCAGTAAGTGATAGTAACTCAACGTCTGACTCCGTTTCAGATAGTAATTCAACGTCTGACTCAGTTTCAGATAGTAATTCAACGTCTGACTCAGTAAGTGATAGTAATTCAACGTCTGACTCCGTTTCAGATAGTAATTCAACATCTGACTCCGTTTCAGACAGTAACTCAACATCTGATTCAGTAAGTGATAGTAACTCAACGTCTGACTCCGTTTCAGATAGCAATTCAACATCTGACTCAGTTTCAGATAGCAATTCAACATCTGACTCAGTTTCAGATAGCAATTCAACATCTGACTCAGTTTCAGACAGTAACTCAACATCTGATTCAGTAAGTGATAGTAACTCAACGTCTGACTCCGTTTCAGATAGTAATTCAACGTCTGACTCAGTAAGTGATAGTAACTCAACATCTGATTCCGTAAGTGATAGTAACTCAACATCTGACTCAGTTTCAGACAGTAACTCAACATCTGATTCAGTAAGTGATAGTAATTCAACGTCTGACTCAGTAAGTGATAGTAATTCAACGTCTGACTCAGTTTCAGATAGTAATTCAACATCTGACTCCGTTTCAGACAGTAACTCAACATCTGATTCAGTAAGTGATAGCAATTCAACGTCTGATTCAGTAAGTGATAGTAACTCAACGTCTGACTCCGTTTCAGATAGCAATTCAACATCTGACTCAGTTTCAGACAGTAACTCAACATCTGATTCAGTAAGTGATAGTAACTCAACGTCTGACTCCGTTTCAGATAGTAATTCAACGTCTGACTCAGTAAGTGATAGTAACTCAACATCTGACTCAGTTTCAGACAGTAACTCAACATCTGATTCAGTAAGTGATAGTAATTCAACGTCTGACTCAGTAAGTGATAGTAATTCAACGTCTGACTCCGTTTCAGATAGTAATTCAACATCTGACTCCGTTTCAGACAGTAACTCAACATCTGATTCAGTAAGTGATAGCAATTCAACGTCTGACTCAGTAAGTGATAGCAATTCAACGTCTGACTCAGTAAGTGATAGCAATTCAACATCTGACTCCGTTTCAGACAGTAACTCAACATCTGATTCAGTAAGTGATAGCAATTCAACATCTGACTCAGTTTCAGATAGTAATTCAACGTCTGATTCAGTAAGTGATAGTAACTCAACATCTGACTCAGTTTCAGATAGTAATTCAACGTCTGATTCAGTAAGTGATAGCAATTCAACGTCTGACTCCGTTTCAGATAGTAATTCAACATCTGACTCCGTTTCAGACAGTAACTCAACATCTGATTCAGTAAGTGATAGCAATTCAACATCTGACTCCGTTTCAGACAGTAACTCAACATCTGATTCAGTAAGTGATAGTAACTCAACGTCTGACTCCGTTTCAGATAGCAATTCAACATCTGATTCCGTAAGTGATAGCAATTCAACATCTGATTCCGTAAGTGATAGCAATTCAACATCTGACTCCGTTTCAGACAGTAACTCAACATCTGATTCAGTAAGTGATAGTAACTCAACATCTGATTCAGTAAGTGATAGTAACTCAACATCTGATTCAGTAAGTGATAGTAACTCAACATCTGATTCAGTAAGTGATAGTAATTCAACGTCTGACTCAGTTTCAGATAGTAATTCAACGTCTGATTCCGTAAGTGATAGCAATTCAACATCTGACTCCGTTTCAGACAGTAACTCAACGTCTGATTCAGTAAGTGATAGTAACTCAACATCTGACTCAGTTTCAGATAGTAATTCAACGTCTGATTCAGTAAGTGATAGTAACTCAACATCTGACTCAGTTTCAGATAGTAATTCAACGTCTGATTCAGTAAGTGATAGTAACTCAACGTCTGACTCAGTTTCAGATAGTAATTCAACGTCTGATTCAGTAAGTGATAGCAATTCAACATCTGACTCAGTTTCAGATAGTAATTCAACGTCTGATTCAGTAAGTGATAGCAATTCAACGTCTGACTCCGTTTCAGACAGTAACTCAACATCTGATTCAGTAAGTGATAGCAATTCAACATCTGACTCAGTTTCAGATAGTAATTCAACGTCTGACTCCGTTTCAGATAGTAATTCAACATCTGACTCCGTTTCAGACAGTAACTCAACATCTGATTCAGTAAGTGATAGCAATTCAACGTCTGACTCAGTAAGTGATAGCAATTCAACATCTGACTCCGTTTCAGACAGTAACTCAACATCTGATTCAGTAAGTGATAGTAATTCAACGTCTGACTCAGTTTCAGATAGTAATTCAACATCTGACTCAGTTTCAGACAGTAACTCAACATCTGATTCCGTAAGTGATAGTAACTCAACGTCTGACTCCGTTTCAGATAGCAATTCAACATCTGACTCAGTTTCAGACAGTAACTCAACATCTGATTCAGTAAGTGATAGTAACTCAACGTCTGACTCCGTTTCAGATAGTAATTCAACGTCTGATTCCGTAAGTGATAGTAACTCAACATCTGACTCAGTTTCAGACAGTAACTCAACATCTGATTCAGTAAGTGATAGTAATTCAACGTCTGACTCAGTTTCAGATAGTAATTCAACATCTGACTCCGTTTCAGACAGTAACTCAACATCTGATTCAGTAAGTGATAGCAATTCAACGTCTGACTCAGTAAGTGATAGCAATTCAACATCTGACTCCGTTTCAGACAGTAACTCAACATCTGATTCAGTAAGTGATAGCAATTCAACATCTGACTCCGTTTCAGACAGTAACTCAACATCTGATTCAGTAAGTGATAGTAACTCAACGTCTGACTCCGTTTCAGATAGCAATTCAACATCTGACTCAGTTTCAGACAGTAACTCAACATCTGATTCAGTAAGTGATAGTAACTCAACGTCTGACTCCGTTTCAGATAGTAATTCAACGTCTGACTCAGTAAGTGATAGTAACTCAACATCTGACTCAGTTTCAGACAGTAACTCAACATCTGATTCAGTAAGTGATAGTAATTCAACGTCTGACTCAGTTTCAGATAGTAATTCAACGTCTGACTCAGTAAGTGATAGTAATTCAACGTCTGACTCCGTTTCAGATAGTAATTCAACATCTGACTCCGTTTCAGACAGTAACTCAACATCTGATTCAGTAAGTGATAGCAATTCAACGTCTGACTCAGTAAGTGATAGCAATTCAACATCTGACTCCGTTTCAGACAGTAACTCAACATCTGATTCAGTAAGTGATAGTAACTCAACGTCTGACTCCGTTTCAGATAGTAATTCAACGTCTGACTCAGTTTCAGATAGTAATTCAACGTCTGACTCAGTAAGTGATAGTAATTCAACGTCTGACTCCGTTTCAGATAGTAATTCAACATCTGACTCCGTTTCAGACAGTAACTCAACATCTGATTCAGTAAGTGATAGCAATTCAACGTCTGACTCAGTAAGTGATAGCAATTCAACATCTGACTCCGTTTCAGACAGTAACTCAACATCTGATTCAGTAAGTGATAGTAACTCAACATCTGATTCAGTAAGTGATAGTAACTCAACATCTGATTCAGTAAGTGATAGTAATTCAACGTCTGACTCAGTTTCAGATAGTAATTCAACGTCTGATTCCGTAAGTGATAGCAATTCAACATCTGACTCCGTTTCAGACAGTAACTCAACGTCTGATTCCGTAAGTGATAGTAACTCAACATCTGATTCAGTAAGTGATAGTAACTCAACGTCTGACTCCGTTTCAGATAGCAATTCAACGTCTGATTCAGTAAGTGATAGTAACTCAACATCTGATTCAGTAAGTGATAGTAATTCAACGTCTGACTCAGTTTCAGATAGTAATTCAACGTCTGATTCAGTTTCAGATAGTAATTCAACATCTGACTCAGTTTCAGACAGTAACTCAACATCTGACTCAGTAAGTGATAGCAATTCAACATCTGACTCCGTTTCAGACAGTAACTCAACGTCTGATTCAGTAAGTGATAGCAATTCAACGTCTGACTCAGTAAGTGATAGCAATTCAACATCTGACTCCGTTTCAGACAGTAACTCAACGTCTGATTCAGTAAGTGATAGCAATTCAACGTCTGACTCAGTAAGTGATAGCAATTCAACATCTGACTCCGTTTCAGACAGTAACTCAACATCTGATTCAGTAAGTGATAGTAATTCAACGTCTGACTCCGTTTCAGATAGTAATTCAACATCTGACTCAGTTTCAGACAGTAACTCAACATCTGATTCAGTAAGTGATAGTAATTCAACGTCTGACTCCGTTTCAGATAGTAATTCAACATCTGACTCAGTTTCAGACAGTAACTCAACATCTGATTCAGTAAGTGATAGCAATTCAACATCTGACTCAGTTTCAGATAGTAATTCAACGTCTGACTCCGTTTCAGATAGTAATTCAACATCTGACTCAGTTTCAGACAGTAACTCAACATCTGATTCCGTTTCAGATAGTAATTCAACATCTGACTCCGTTTCAGATAGCAATTCAACATCTGACTCAGTTTCAGACAGTAACTCAACATCTGATTCAGTAAGTGATAGTAATTCAACGTCTGACTCAGTTTCAGATAGTAATTCAACATCTGACTCCGTTTCAGACAGTAACTCAACATCTGATTCAGTAAGTGATAGTAATTCAACATCTGACTCAGTTTCAGACAGTAATTCAACATCTGACTCCGTTTCAGACAGTAACTCAACATCTGATTCAGTAAGTGATAGTAATTCAACATCTGACTCAGTTTCAGACAGTAACTCAACATCTGATTCAGTAAGTGATAGCAATTCAACATCTGACTCAGTTTCAGATAGTAATTCAACGTCTGACTCAGTTTCAGACAGTAACTCAACATCTGATTCAGTAAGTGATAGCAATTCAACATCTGACTCAGTTTCAGATAGTAATTCAACGTCTGACTCCGTTTCAGATAGTAATTCAACATCTGACTCCGTTTCAGACAGTAACTCAACATCTGATTCAGTAAGTGATAGCAATTCAACATCTGACTCAGTTTCAGATAGTAATTCAACGTCTGATTCAGTAAGTGATAGCAATTCAACGTCTGATTCAGTAAGTGATAGTAACTCAACATCTGATTCAGTAAGTGATAGTAACTCAACGTCTGACTCAGTTTCAGATAGTAATTCAACGTCTGACTCCGTTTCAGACAGTAACTCAACGTCTGATTCAGTAAGTGATAGCAATTCAACATCTGACTCCGTTTCAGATAGCAATTCAACGTCTGATTCAGTAAGTGATAGCAATTCAACGTCTGACTCAATTTCAGACAGTAACTCAACATCTGATTCAGTAAGTGATAGTAATTCAACGTCTGACTCAGTAAGTGATAGCAATTCAACATCTGACTCCGTTTCAGACAGTAACTCAACGTCTGATTCAGTAAGTGATAGTAACTCAACATCTGACTCAGTTTCAGACAGTAACTCAACATCTGATTCAGTAAGTGATAGTAATTCAACGTCTGACTCAGTAAGTGATAGTAACTCAACATCTGACTCCGTTTCAGATAGTAATTCAACGTCTGATTCAGTAAGTGATAGTAACTCAACATCTGACTCCGTTTCAGATAGTAATTCAACGTCTGATTCAGTAAGTGATAGCAATTCAACGTCTGACTCAATTTCAGACAGTAACTCAACATCTGACTCCGTTTCAGATAGCAATTCAACATCTGACTCAGTTTCAGACAGTAACTCAACGTCTGATTCCGTAAGTGATAGCAATTCAACGTCTGACTCCGTTTCAGATAGCAATTCAACATCTGACTCAGTTTCAGACAGTAACTCAACATCTGATTCAGTAAGTGATAGTAATTCAACGTCTGACTCAGTTTCAGATAGTAATTCAACGTCTGACTCAGTTTCAGATAGTAATTCAACATCTGACTCAGTTTCAGACAGTAACTCAACATCTGATTCAGTAAGTGATAGTAATTCAACGTCTGACTCAGTAAGTGATAGTAACTCAACATCTGACTCAGTTTCAGATAGTAATTCAACGTCTGACTCAGTTTCAGACAGTAACTCAACGTCTGATTCCGTAAGTGATAGCAATTCAACATCTGACTCCGTTTCAGATAGCAATTCAACATCTGACTCAGTTTCAGATAGTGAATTTATACCTGATAGTAACTCAGGAATCGATGACTCAGGAAACAATAGTAACGGGGGGGCTTCAGGAAATAGTTCTTCAGGTTACTTGCCAAAAACTGGTGTGGAAAAAGGATCTTTATTTGAATCCGTTGGATTATCTGCAATGGGATTGGCATTATTAGGAGCTATCGCCGCAAAGAAAAAGAAGAGAAACGAAAATTAAATAAATAATTTTCACATCACTTGAGAAAAAGCAGTCCTGTTCTAGTATTAGTTAAATTTAGGATAGGGCTGTTTATTTTGTCAGTATTTTGCAAAAGAAAAATTCTAATCTTTAGCATATAAATTAGTAATGTCGATACAAGAATTCGATCAGATAAGGTTAGTATGTTTATATATAATAAATATAAAGATTCAATAAATGAAAAAAAGGATTATTAAAATTACAGAGTTATACGCTCTTAGGAGTTTCAATTTTAGTAGTGTTACCATTTTATCAAGTCAGTGTGAGAGTGGTTTAATTTATGATATAACTTAGAACAACTGAGTGGCAAAAGCATTTTTATAACAATTTGGGATAAAGTTCATGAATTAAGGGGAACAGATGAAGGGGCTGCGGCTTTATTGGGCAATATTCAAGTGGATAGTCAGCTAAAAACTGAGATAATCCAAGATAATTAGGTTTTTAACGAATATAAAGCAATGGATTCAGGGATTAATGGTTATGGAATTGGATTAGCTCAGTGGGATGGGACACGACGAGTTTCGTTAATTAAACAGACAGATCTTAATCAGAGAATAGAACAAATAATGCGTCTCTGGGAAAGATCAGGTAATGATGAGAGCTTAGTACAAAGATTAGATAATGCGAATTACCGCTTAGAATCTTTTTGCAGTCAAAGAACATCCACTTCCCCAAAATCCTTAGTTCCGAATGGCTGGAAAATTGCTCAACCAATTAATACAAGTGGTTATATAACTAGTAGTTATGATTATAGATTATGCACTTGGTGGGCCTATAAAAAGATCAAATCATTTCGAAATTCACTACGGATTGTATATGGGTTCTGGAGCATCTTGGCAAAACCAGTCATACTATGTCGTACCGACAATTTCAACTCTACATAGTTTTGTGAGCTTAACAGAGGGCAAACGGTTGGAGGACAATGGCAAGGTGATTACATTATGTTATTGAAAAGTGAGAATGTGTGGAGAGGAGCGAACCCAAAACAGTTGTCCTAAAGGATACTCTTGTTAAAATTGGAGCCCCATTAATTGATTAATTTTAATAAATACGAAAAATAGCGAAGAAAGTTCTTTTCTTCGCTATTTTTTGATATTTGACATTGGAGATATATTGTTTAAAAAAACTCCTTTTGCTTTATATAAAGGTTCTATTGCAAAGTTTCCAATCAGTTCAATAATAAAGTAAAATAATAAGGAACAATCTATTTGACATTAGTCCAGGTTCAAAAATATCCATTAGAGAAGAAAGAAAATGGGAGTTGTTTATTCTCAAATTTTATGATATTTTTAAAGAGCCATAAACATATGCAAAAAGCATAATCTGATTTCACACACGATTCATCAGATTATGTTCTTTATTTTCTTTAATTTTCTTAATACCTAGGTTTTACTTTACAGTTTTAAGTAGTATAATGACATTAAATTATTAATGAATTGGAGGAAAGAGTCTGTAGAAAACAATCCATTCAGGGAATTTAAAAGGTTTTTATACCATTGATTCAAAATGGTCAAAGAATGAACTTGAAGATTTTATTAAGCAAATAAAATCTTCACAAGAACAAAATAAAAAGAGGTCTGTCAATTTTCAAGCCGTGCTTTCTAGTCAATTTGATTCACTAGATTTGCCTGTTATTGGTGGAATGTCTATCTCTGATTTAAATTAATAAAGAGTACCTCATTATTATACGGCGCAGTTAGAATGAAAGAATGAGAGGTCATGGTATAAGGGAATTGTTCTCTTGTGGGAACAATGTAACTGGATTTACCTCAAACCTCTCTCTCTATCTTATTTATTCCATTAGCCCAAGAGTACACACAGACCTAAAATGGACGTACTTTCTATTTTAAGGACTTTTTTATTTGTTTTTTATAATTTATAAGCGATTTTCATAAGCAGAATCTCTAAAGTGTCTTAGATGTCGGTTTAAGAGCTTGTAACGGATTATAAAAAAAGTTATAATAGAATTAAATTATTATAATAACAGTTATTTTCGTGCATGACCGCAAGCATAGCCCCGAGTAAAGCTTAAGTAGTGAACGTTGGGAGTGTACAAGTGATACAACTTTAACTATCCTAGTGATGTCAAGGGTGTAGCTTGTATCACTTGTTATGCTAAGTAGTGAAATTAAATTAGAGAATGAAAAGGACTAAAATGCCCTTTTTTTGTTTCACGTAAGAATAAAAGTTGTTAAAACTTAGTAGATATCAAAAGTAAACTCACGTAAAAAAATGCTAGATAAACGTTATAGAAGCCATAAATCAGCATATTTAATTAAATGAATCACAATCCAAAGTATCCGCAAAATCTTTGCCTACGTAGTTCTTTTTTGAAATAATGTTTCTGTTTTTTCATCAAGGTGTACAAGCGCAATAAGGGATATAGGAAGAAACAATTATTTATTATTTAATAATTGAAGCATGGAAAAAACTTGCTATATATAGTGGAATAGCATTACTTCTATCAGGAGCTTTGGCTCCTAGCCTTATTGTTAAAACTGATACAACTGAACAAAAAAAGTTCACCTGTGGAAGTTCAAAATGATTCAAATTTATCTAAATTACCTCTTAATGGGGAAACTAAATCGGTTACAGATTCACAAGGTAATGTAACATATTTCAAAGTTGGACCTGATTCAAATCTTATGGCTCGTATTTCAAATGGTTCTCATAAGGTCACTGCTTGGGATGTTTCATTTTATATAACAACCAGTGGTAATAAAATTACAAGCGCACGGGATTTAAATTATAAGATTATTGGAGCACAAGTTAATTCGGCATCCTTGCGTGTTGATAATAGCAAACGTGCAAGTGCTCATTTTTCGTTTACAACTCCAAATGTAATGTAATATCTTGGACTGGGTGGGTTAGAGCTACAATAAATTTGTCAAATAATATTGTAGTTACAAGAAATTAAAAAACTCTATTATAATAATATAAAGGAGGTCTTTATGAGATTAGTTTCTATTGTTTTTTTGATAACAGTCATTTTAATTGGGCTGGGTATTTATTTCTTGATTAAATTTTTTAAAATTAAAAAATAGCTTAAAAACTTTTTTTATTTCTAAAATTTTGCAATAGAACCAAAAAAAGCCCAAATTGGCTTTTTATTTTTACCCATTAA